TGTCGACTAAAAGTAGTTCAAAACTGTGAGTTTTATGCTTCTATGGAAACGTCTTTATCAGATGTACTTTTTTTATGGTAATCAATTGTCTGACAATTAGCAAACAAACCATTTGAGTGAATATGTACCCCGCCGCGATAGCACTTTCAATCTACAGTAATGTTTAAAATTTAAATTGGAACTACGTCACAGTTTGCGCTTTTTGAAAAGTTCAGCCTAAACTATTCTAGATCGTCGTTTGTACTCTGTGTTAATCTTTTGCATCCTTAACCACCCTTGTTCCTTTACGGTTTATTATTATCTCTTTATTCCCAGGTTTCCCTCAATTTCAAGGTGACTGAGCTGTACTGTCTACTATTCGCCTACGCACTGTCCGCCTGAAATAACCACAAGAATTTGGACACAGGACAGCCATTCTTACTAAACACAATGCAGGCAAAACAGATCACTTCCATTGTGCTTGAAAGTACTTGGAAACTTTTAGAGTTTACCGGTTTGCTATTGAGAAAAGATTTCAGATGTCCGCCATTATCATAATCCAGTCAGGGACAAGCAACGCATCTGCTCTTTTAAATGTTTGTTCCACAGTCGATTTCTTGCTCACTGGGAAACTTATTGCCTCCCGCCGTCTTCAAGTAAATAGCAATTTTTTTTTTCCTCAAGGCCTATACAATCGCTATTGCTGTTGATGTTACCATGTGTGGAACTTTTTTCCCCTTTTAAGCCTAGGGTATGTTTATTTAAACCCAGATAGCTGAGAGGCTCAAAATGTAAACTCTAAAGGGTTAAAAGAAAGAAAGAAACTAAGTTCTGGTGTAGTCAAGCAACATTTTTGATTTTATTATTTTATTGGCTAGATCATTCATTAGTTTAAGTGTTATTGTCGTCTTACCTGTTTGACACGTACTTCCTGTGTATCCTTTCACACAAAGACACACATAGCTGTTTTTCTCATACATTGGCACGCAAGATCCACCGTTCTGGCATGGTCCACTCATACATGGAGACTAAGAAATAAAGTGATATTTAGTGACTGAAGGTAAGCTAAGCAAAGGTAAGCTAAGCTAAGCAAAGCTAAGCTAAAACTAAGAAATAAACTGAAATTTAGTAACTGAAGGCAAGCTAAGCTCAAAGTTAAGGCAGGCCCAATAACCACCATCATGGTTAATGACGACTAACGACAAAATAGTTCCTAACGCACGAAAAAAAAATTGACTGAAAGCTTTCCCGCTGGGAGTGAATTCACTTTGATCGATGGTGGAAAATATTTCGGCAAAAACATATCCCAACTTCATTTAGAAAAGAAATTGTTTAACTAATCGTAAACTTAAAAACATTTCTTATAGAATCTTGAGGACAATACTATTCCACCCAATGAAATTGTGCTAGTAACTGGACAAAAATATATATGTATAAATTCGTTTAGTAACTATTCGGCTATTTCCGAGAAAACCGACGACAACCCATTTCAGCCGTTTTATCAGGATCTAGAGGACAGGAACCTTCTGGTCGCGTGATGATTCCGTGTTCTCCAAAAATGAGAGTGGATTAAATTACGACGATATCGA